GTATATATATATATGTATATATAATATAGATATGTACATTATACATATGTACACAGAAGAGATATTAAAGAAGAGATTTAAAGATTTCATTAAATTTCATTCCAACACATGTACTACATTTGGTGCACATGACAAATAAAGAAACTGACACTGACTCTGACTTTGGTAGTAAACAGACTTCTATTTCCCAACAATCCAATTATGAGAAGTTGTTTTAATCCTACTGATTCAGGTAGATGGTCACCTGGACAGAGTCTGTTGCTGCTGATGGCCTTTTCTTCCAGTCGACAGCTTGCTGCTCTACTGTATGTTCATTCAAATGAAGAAATCAAAGTAGACATTTTATTTGATATAGTTGATTCTTCACCTGGCAGCACGGTGGTGCAACTGGTAGAGCTGCTGCCTCTCAGCGAGCAGGTCCCTGGTTCAAACCCCGGTCCAGGGGCCTTTCTGGGTGGAGTTTCCATGTTCTCTCCGTGCATGCGTGGGTTTTCTCCGGGTACTCCGGTTTCCTCCCACAGTCCAAAAACATGCATGTTAGACTGATTGGTGACTCTAAATTGTCCCTAGGAGTGAGTGAGAGAGTGAATAGTTGTTTGTCTCGTTTGACTCTATGTGTCCCTGTGATGGACTGGAGACCCGTCCAGGGTGTACCCCGCCCCTCGCACAATGATTGCTGGACATGGGCACCAGCGACCCCCGTGACCCAAAATGGAATAAGCGGGTAAAGAAAATGGATGGATGGATTCTTCACCCAACTATTTAGCGCTATTGTTTTTGTAACCTGCTTTGGAAAAACCTGTTTAACAAATTAGTATTATCTAAATATTGTAAACTAAATTCTACTCCAATATTTTGCATTCCAATTACCTTCAGACTATATTAGAATAAACATAATTGAAATTATTTATAAGTAAGTAAACTGTGTGATATCTGAAACCTCAGTTAATATCAAATTAACTTGTTTACTAAGAATTGTACCCTGAGATGACATTAAACTAAAAAAGTACTTACTGGAAGAAAACTTGAAAGGCATTTGATTAGGGTTGTAACGGTACGCTAAAATCACATTTCGGTTCGGTTCAGTTTCAAGGAGGGCTCGGTTCGGGTAATTTTCCGTACAAAAAACGCCAAAATAAAAATTTACAAAATGTTTATTTTGAAAATATGTCAAGTAAACGATACATTTGTATAAAAATAAATTAAGTGATCCATTTGGATGATATTTTAAATAAACAGCACTCTTTACAATAAATTAACTATACTAACAATAATAAAAATCTTAATAAATACAATAACAGTCAGAAGCAGAACAACAATCAAGAACAGACCGTTTACAATCTAACTAATCAAGTTTCAAGTTTTTGGCCAAAAAGACCAACTTGTCCACATTTTCTGCCAAAAGCACAGATCAAGTTGCAGTGAATACCTCCAGCAGTGGAGAAAACCTCTCACTAACAACAGTAGCAGGAATAACGAGGTAGAGCTTTGCTAATTTTGCAGTGTGGCTGTATTTGTCCTCATTACTCACAACCTCTTCTTGGACCTGCTCCCACCTGTCCCTGGAAAAGTTCAGAGTTCACTCATCACACACTTCTTAGCTGGACGTGATCTCTGGTAGATTTCCCTGAAGAGGAAGAAGACTCAGCTGCTATCTCTGTCCCAGATTGGAAATAAAACACACAGAGGTAAATAATTAGTTAATAAGATTATAATTTTAAATTAAAAAAGTTAATTAGATGATTATAATAAAATAACAATACCTCTTCTTGAATGGTCATCATTTGTTATGAAGAGGTTGCATCTCTCGCTCATCATCATCAGGGCAGGGCTTTAAATCTGGGCTCCAGGGCTTGTTGACAATCAGTTTTAGCTTTTTCATAAAGTGCTGGTACAACTTTTTGGCTGAAGTGTTGACGTAATGGGATGTTGTAGCAGGGCCAAATAACTTTAAAGTCGGTGCATCAACAATAGAATACGGACATAGATCCATAGCTTTAAAAACTCCTACACCTTGTGTCATTGCTTTGGACTGATCTGAATTACCTGATAAAGGTTGTTTAAATCCTGCTGTTATCGGTCTTTGAACCAACCAAGCTGCTAGAAGACGTTCACGTTCGGATGATGTTGTTTCAAGCGTGCTAACAAGTTAGACGTGTTGCCTGCTGAAGATCCAATCTCCATGAAACAACATCGACACACAGTTTTGGATTGGCGCTTGTCTTTTAACAAGAAAGCCATAATGTTCCCAAACAGGAGACCGCAACAAGATGCTAGAATGCTAATGCTATGCGTGCTGCAAGACTATAGTGCCATACTGAAACACGCTTTGGAGTTCCGCGGCATATAATCTCTCGTTAATAAAATTTAATGAGTGAAAAATTAACTAAAACGGTATGCACGTGGACAGAACTGAACATGCTGTACCAAAACGGTTCAATACACCTACATGTACCGTTACACCCCTACATTTCATATCACCACTTGCTCTTGCCGAGGTCGGATGCTTTCCCCCTCCCCTCCCTCTCCGCTTTGCTTTGCTGCTCTGTTTGTCTGTGAAACTGCTTCTGAGCATCTCTTGCATATCTTCCGAACCATAATTATGGACTTGATTTGCTTATTTGGTCTCTCAACACAATTGATAACATTTCTTCGAAGAGAAGACAGGCTTCAGGCAAGCCGATTTGCCCTGTTGGCATGCACGCGGCTGGATATCTCATCCACTTGAAGACTTGATGTTGTGTCTATCTCTGCTGCCATTTGTGGATTTTAAGGACACATATTTAATTGGATTTACAATAACTGGTTCCTGCTTTTTGGATTCGGCTGGTTGCTGGTTTTATCTACAATCAAGGAAGTCGTCGACAGCAAATTTGGACCCGATCACGCTGCTTGCCTTTATAATGGCATAGTTCATGCCTCGAGTACCCGGACTCAAATGCTTTGGGCAGAATGGATCAGATCTCTGGGATTTTACTCAGGCACATTCCATCGGTGTATCCATATAATTTGGACATTTCGGAACCGTTTGGACCAACACAGACTCAAGGTAGATGTCATTAAGTTCTGCCTGTCCCCAAAACAACTGTGTGTTTATCTGAATTTGGCTCCCCTGGCTGGCCTTGAAGGCCACCTTATCTGATTTCTCCTGGAGAACATGTGATCTGACGCTCACATGGAAGATGTGTTTGTGGGATTGAGAACGTCTGAGAAGAATTTCTTCCACCATCTACAGACATCACTGGCTGAGGTCAATATCACTCCAACTCCACTACACACAGTGTTGGTAAAGGATTGGTTTATCCTCCTCATCCACCTGATGGTTTGCTAGAATCTCTTCAGAGTTAATAGAGAATCTCTATTCAGGGCCTCACTGAACTCCTCCCACATTAGATATTCGATATGCTGACACAGAATGGACTGTGAGAAAGGCCAAAAAAATATTATACCAGAACTGTGAAAAAAATGCTGATTATATGGTTGAAATAATCATGTTTGTGAGAATGCTAACAGAAAATGAAAATGTTTAAAATATTATGTCTATTGTGACCTGTGATGACCTGTCCAGGCTGAACGCCGCCACTCGCACAAAGAGTACTGGAGATCAACACCAGCCCTCCTGCAGCCCTGTAGGGAATAGCAGATTAAACAATGTATGAGCCTGGTTCTGCTGGAGGTTTCTTCCTTTTAAAAGGGAGTTTTTCCTTTCCACTGTTGCCACTGTGCTTGCTCAGGATGGGAGACTGCAACGAAGCCAAGATTCAACTTGTCTGCTGGATTCCTTAGATAGAGAACTTTACTAATTGGCTTTTATGTGAATGTTCCTGTAAAGTACCCTGAGACAACTTTGTTGTGATTTGGTGCTATATAAATAAACTGAATTTAATTGAATTGAATTGTATGGATGTTGTCTGATCAGTTATGTTGTGATGACAGTCATGAAATCTTGTGCAATTTAGATAAAAAGAAATGACTTGTTTCATAAAGAATACTTGAAATGGTCAACTCTGACAGAAACCCAATAGTTTTCTTGTGAAGTGGTACCTTAAATGTTTTCAGTTACTTTAATTGCTGGAATAAATAATGAAAAACAAGTCTGAGTGAGGCAAGAAAGACAGTTTTTATCTGTATAGCCTGAATATGTGCAGTGCTTTGACTTAAAGGTTAATTAAATTCAGGCTTTGGCAGAAAAATATTTTTATCTGTCAGTCGGCGATATAAACCGTTTTAAGTATATGAAAGACTTTTTATGTCTGCGTTATTCCAATTCTGTCTTGTTAAGTTGTATCTCAAACACAGATGCAGCATCTCATTATGTTGACTGACCTTTGTGTGCATTCATGCAACTGCTTCTGTGTGCAGGCTGGAGTTTCAGCATGGGGTCAGCCTACCAGTTCCACAGCTGGAGAGTGTTTGTGGTGGTGTGTGCGCTGCCATGTGTGTCTGCAGTTGTAGCTCTCACCTTTATGCCTGAGAGCCCTCGCTTCTACCTGGAGGTAAAACACAGTAAACATTGCCACACTGGCAGAATTCACATTTTGTCCAAAAAAAAAAAAATCAAGTCAGTGATTTATTTATTTATTTTTATTTATATATATATATATATGTGTGTGTGTGTGTTTTTTTTAATACTGTTAACAGTTTTTGTTAACAAAATCAACCAAAGCAACAAGTTGGTGCCTCTATAGAGAAACTGTTTTCAGTAATGTGTGTGCGTGTACGCATGTGTGCGTGCATGCGTGGGTGGGTCCGAGTGTGTGTGTGCGTGTGTTCATTTGTTTGTCAGTTAGCAAAATATCACATGAATCACTTGACAAATATTATTGGCACTGTGGTGGCAGTTTTAAATTGTCCTGACTCCAAAGTAAATCAGTTGTAAATACACAGCCAGTGATTACTTTCTGAAAGTTTCACAAAAACTTGTCAAGTGATTCATGAGATATTTTGCTAACAACAGGCATTAAGGTCGTTTTCACACCAGATAGTCCAGTAGACTCGGTTCGGGACCAATATTCATGACCTTTTGTTTACATTTGAGCTGGTGCGTTTGCATTCACACTGCACTGTGCAGTCGAGTCAACCTGTTGAACCAACCTATTCCCCCGCTCGCCTGTGGGGGCGCTGCACCAAGAACTACTGAAAGAAACAACACAAAAACCTCTGAAGACACGTCTTCTTCTTCTTTTGTAAATAAAATAAAAACGAAGTGGCATCAAGTTTTAGCAGTTTTAGGAGTTATATTTTGTCATTTTTCAAAAATGGACTTAGCATGAGCAGAAGATGAGACAGAAGACCATGGAGAATATTGTTTTTCCACACAAGGCAGCTGACAGCTCCAGATAAGGTCAGAGAAATGTGTTTGTTTACCCTGCAGAGCAGGTCTGGTTTCTTTACATTCACACTGCACTTGAACCGCGCTGGAGTTCGCTTCTACCGGACCGAGACCTAGGCTTTAGCCCGGGCAAGAGTTCGCCTTTTTGTTCCGTGACAGAGTTCGATGGCACGTTCACACCTCCCTAAACGAACTGGACTTTCTAGGAAAACGAGCTAGAGTTCGATTAAAGCGGACTAAACAGGGCTGGTGTAAATGCACCCTAATTCCAAAAGTTATTATCAACATTCTAAGGGTGAATGAATGAACGAATGAATACAACAGCATGAGATCAGCAGCATGGATAATCAGCAGCATGGATAATCAGCAGCACATGTTACCAATCAAAGTGGCATTACAATGATTTTTTTTGTGTGATTATCATAGGTAGAATACCCATACCATACCATTTTATTTATAGAGCACTTAAAACAGCTACAAGGCCAACCAAAGTGCTGTACAGACAGAACAACAGATAACACACGAAGCAATATACAAAATTAAGTAAATCATGAAATCTTGAAACACATCAACTCTGTCCTTCCTGCCTCCCTGGATCCCTTCCAGTTTGCATATCGGCCAAATCGTTCAACCGACGACGCCATCTCCTCTGCCCTCCACACAGCCCTCACACATCTGGACACTAAGGACTCATGTTAGAATGCTGTTCATTGACTTCAGCTCGGCATTCAACACCAATACCAATACCAATACCAATTTATTTATAAAGCACTTTAAACAGTGACAAAGCACACCAAAGTGCTGTACAGGGACAAACAGAACAAGCACATAGCAACAGATTACATAACAGGACACCAAAAAGTAGAAACCGACAAAAACAATAATGGATAACAACAACAACTGCAACATGACTAACACAGTGTGATGCACACAGACTCAGCACAGATCACACAGTGCAGAAAGCCAGGGAATAGAAGTGTGTTTTTAAGCGAGATTTAAAAACTGTGAGGGAGGGAGCCTGTCTAACGAGCAGAGGTAACTCATTCCAAAGTCTTGGGCCTGCTACAGAGAAGGCCCTGTCACCTCTGCGCTTGAGGCGGGTTCCTGGGACTGTTAGGAGCAACTGGTCTGCTGATCTGAGAGAACGTGGTGGGACATACGGCTGGAGCAGATCAGTAAGATAGGAGGGGGCAGAGCTGTTTAGTGATTTATAGACATACAAGAGTATTTTGAATTTGATTCAAAGGTGAACCGGAAGCCAGTGTAGGGAGGCCAAAACAGGTGTAATGTGCTCTCTTTTGCTTGTGCTGGTCAAAAACCGGGCTGCTGCATTTTGGACTAGTTGGAGTCTAGCTATGGAGGTCTGATTGATACCAAAAAGGAGTGAGTTGCAATAGTCGAGCCTGGATGTAATGAATGCATGAATTACTGTCTCCAGGTTATTTTTGGACAATATGGGCTTCAGCTTAGACAGTCGCTTCAGCTGGAAAAAGCCGGATTTAACAATCATATTTACATGATTGTTGAGTTTCAGAGAAGGGTCAAGTATCACTCCTAGATTAGTGACTCTTTGTTTCACTAACGGTGACAGAACGGATAGGTCGATGCAGTGGTTGGTGATTGTGTCATTGGGAGGAAACAGCATAACTTCAGATTTCTTCTCGTTGAAACTCAAGAAATTTAAAGCCATCCAATCTCTGATGTCAGCCAGGCAGTCCAGTAACGGTTGAATAGAGCGAGTACCGTTGAGTCTGAGGGGGAAGTAGATTTGGAAGTCGTCAGCGTAGAAATGAAAAGGTATGTTATGTTTCCTGAAAATAACACCTAGTGGCAGCAGGTATAAAGAAAATAAAAGAGGACCAAGGATGGACCCTTGCGGTACCCTATTTAAGCGCTGCCGAGGCTGAACTAAAATCTTTGATGGAGACACAAAAGGACCTGTCAGCGAGGTAAGATCTAAACCATTCGAGGGCTGACCCAGTGATGCCCACCCACTGCTCTAACCTCGCAATGAGGATCTCGTGGTCAATTGTATCAAAGGCAGATGTGAGGTCCAGTAAGAGAAGGAGCACAGAATCACCAGCGTCTGTGAATAGGAGAATGTCGTTAAAAACCTTGAGTAGAGCAGTTTCAGTGCTGTGGGGAGGTTTAAAGCCAGACTGGAATAGCTCTAAGATGGCATTATCCTCTAGAAAGCATTTCAGCTGGGACTCCACTATTTTTTTCCAGCAGTTTAGTGACAAATGGGAGTCTGGAGACAGACCGGAATTTGGACATGACTGAGGGGTCAAGGCTAGGTTTTTTCAGGAGAGGTTGGACAGCAGCATGTTTAAAAGTTATTGGTACCACAACTGAGGTTAAGCTGCTGTTCACAATGCCAAGAACAGGAGGGCCCAGAACAGGAAGAAGCTCCTTAAGGAGTCGAGGGGGGACAACGTCAAAAGGGGAGCCAGATGGCTTCATGCCGCACATGACCTGCTCCAGGGAAGACAGAGGGATGGGCTCGAAGTGGTCCAGAACAGCAACACAATGAGATGGTATGGACGGATCATGAGCAGGTGGAGAAATGAGTGCCCGGGTGTTTGCAACTTTTTCAGAAAAGAAATGGAGGAAGTTTTCACACAACTCAGTTGAGGCTTCTAGAGGTGAAGGTTCACTGAGGTGTAGAACTGAGTTCAGGGTGGAAAAAAGGGCTCGGGGGTTGTGGGAGTTTGAGGCAATTATTGCAGAAAAGAACTTCGATTTGGTGGCTTTAACTGCCTTCTGATAATGACGCCAACTCTCCTTTAGGATTTGAAAAGAAACCTGCAGCCTGTCTTTCCTCCCCCTGCGTTCTGCTCTCCTACACTGCTGTCTAACAGCATGAGTGACGTCATTAAGCCATGGTTCTGATAAAACTTTTGTTTTCCTGGTTTTAACGGAAGCAACACGGTCCAGAATATTTAAGCAAACAGAGTTAAGCTGAGAGGTTAGCTCCTCGGTGGAGAGAGACACTGAGAGCTGATCGATCCTCTCAGAGCTAAAAGCTTCAGTAAAACATGCAGCAGTGAAACGGTTAATGGCGCGTGAAGTACGTGCAGAATCACATGACTTAGCAGTAGGACAAGGCGGGATGATATCAAACAAGACAGGCATGTGGTCTGAGAGAACGTTGTCACCGATTACCAAATTGCAAACAGAGACATCACGTGTTAAAATGAGATCCAGAGTGTGACCATGTTGTTGGGTGGGAGCATTTACATGTTGAGTTAAATTAAATGAGTCCAACAAATCAAGGAAGTCCTTCACTAACGGCTTCTCCTGACAACAGACGTGAATATTAAAGTCACCAACGATAATAAAGTGATCATATCTTGGTGTGATGTAAGCCAGAAAATCAGAGAATTCACTTATGAAGTCCTTTGAACGAGGGGGGCGATAAACAATCGCGCACAGAACGGGAGGGGAATGTCCGAGTTCAAAAGCACTCAGCTCAAAACCTGAGCAGGGCATGAGGGTGGACAACTGTTTATAGGAAAAGTTTGATTTAAATATAGTTAATATTCCACCACCCCGCCGACCTGATGGCCGCGGGGCATTAAAACACAGACAGTCAGGAAGTAAAAGTTCCACCAAGGCGCTTGAATCACCCAAAGGCAACCAGGATTCAGTGAGAAAAAGAAAATCTAGTCCCTCGTCTTTAAAAAAGTCATTTAGAATAAAAGTCTTGTTGGCAACAGACCTTGTGTTGATGAGGCACGTCCTGATCTGGCCCGACACAGAACCAGCCATGGTGCGGGTGGTGCACGCCAACGGTTGCAGATTTTTAAAAACAGCGCCTCCAGGACGGTCCAAGCACCGGGCCGGTAGACAACACCCATATTTTCCCTGGTCCAGGCATGTAGGAAGCTGGCTGTGGAAATGTTGACCACGCAGAGCTTTGAGTTTTACCAGCCGGCCGGCACGTTTACCCCGGCGTCTGGATCGATATCTCCAAGAAGGCAGGCTTGGGGCCCAGCGTAAACAAGCAGGCACGTCTGCCAGAAGGGGGGGAAGAGGGGGGGGGGGGGGGTCCCGAGTCACAATCAAAATGGTCCGAATCAGCGACAGCAGATACAGACAATCGAAGATCGAGGAGCTGTTGTCGGTCATACACAAGCAGCGAGTTGATATCCCAGACAAAAA